TGACCGCCGCGGCGCGGCGGCGGCGCCGCCGATACTCTTCGCCGATACTTTTTTCCCGCCGCTGACTGAGCGTGATAAGAAACGAACGAACGCACGTTGAGCCGGCCGAAGCGTCTCACGCGCGGGCCGGCACCCCGCGATTTTTCCTCTCTCTCTCTCTCTCTCTCTCTCGAAGGGATGACTTTCGACCATTCACCGACCAGACCCCGTAATTGTCCGCACGTGATAACCGCCGTGATAACTCCTCGCTCCGACTTGCTGTTTAGGTCGAGGCGCGTAGCGTCTCGGCTCGGGCTCGGCTAGCGAGAAGCGAGTGCCGATCGGTGCGGAGCACACGTCTTGTTTTTGTCCACCGAACTGGGTTAAGTAGGGAAACTTGTAGCTGGTGATGGCAATTTCCTCGATCGGGAGCGTCGCCGACCGGGGAGTTTATCAGCAGTGCCTAGGCAGCGGCCGTGCACGTGTCAGTAGTGTGATTAACACGCCGCGAGCGGCGACGTTTGCGCCTTTTCTTCTTTTCTCTTTTCTTTTTCTTTTTCTTTTTCTTTTTCAAGTACACAGGTAGATTGCGTGCGGAGGAAGGTAACGGAAGCGTGCTGCGTCGAGGCCGTCGTCGTTTTCCCGATCGATCGCCAGGCGCGCGTTATCGAGAGCAGCGCGACGGAGCGCACAGTGGAGCCAGATGACGTTTTTTGGTTGAAAATTCTCTAGAGACCTGAATTTCCAGTCGATCATCGACAGCAACGGATGAGGTTGATCCTGAATAAATTCCAAAGAGATCTGTCTGGCCGAAATTTTGAAAAAATTATCGCTTCAGGGTTCATGGGTTTAGGGTTCGTCTGAAAAGTTTATCGTTTAAAGTACAGTGTCTTGGGTCTAGCTGTGGCTAGATTGGGTTCTTGGACTATTTGGGCCTCTTAATACATACGGCTTCATACATCCACGAGCTAAAAAGTTCTCGGATTGATAGATTCCTAGATTGATGGGCTCAAGACTCAAAATCCTTCGGTTTGATATTTGATGTTTTTGTATTTTATAAGTGTCGGATAATAAGTATTTCACGCTAGGAAAAATGTATTGTTGCGTGAACCAAAATTCTGTTGTAACAACAAAATAATTTGGTTAAAATATGCCCAACAAAACTGTTTAGTTCCTGTAAACAAATATCTTGTTCGCATAACGTAATACTTTTGTCATAGCCAAACCAAAAAAACTCGAACTATATGGATTTGGTTGAAAATGCTATAATTTTTTCTCAATATATAAAATCTAAATTTTAGTGCACGGAAAGACAAAGTAGTATCCATTGGGCATTATTTTAGTTTATGTAAAATAATATTTCGTTATTATGTAATTTTTACGGACAAAACAACTAAAATGCTTAATTTTCATGATATGAAGTCCAAGAACAAAATCATCATTTGGTCCAGAGAAAAAAGGCAGAAAAATATATTCAGTTGGGACAACTAAATATTTTGTCATATAAAACAAGATATTTGGTTGCGTATTAAAAAATGCCTCAACTAAACAGTTTTGTCAGAGATACTAAATTTTTTTCCTGGTGCACAAGTTTCTCGCGTTCAACGCGATAAATTTTCCTCTCTTGGGGCTACCAATCGGAGAAAAGAATTTCTTTTTAAATCTAAACTCTCGCAAGACGGATCTCTTCGGAATTGATTCAGGATCAACCTTATCACCATTGGTGTCGATGATCGGTTGGAAATTCAGCTCTCTGCAGAATTTTCAACCAAAGAATGTCATCTGGCCCCCACTGTGTGCCGCCGCCGCCGCCGACGCGGCGGGCCTTTCTCGACGACTCAGCGCGGCGCGTGAATGTCACTTTGATGCGCGCGTCAAGTTACCAAGAGCCGGGCGTTTCTCCATCGGCGAACCGACGACGGTGCTTCCTTCGTAGAGAGACGGAACGTGCGCCACCTCCGCGTGTGTGAGAGACCGGTCGGTCGAGTAGGAGAGATGCGCGGCCTCAGCTCGTTGTAACGAGCAAGGAAAACTGAAGCGGACGACGAGGAGGCAGGAAGGAAAGAGGGAGAGAGAGAGAGAGAGAGAGAGAGAGTGTGTCAGGGAAGGAGGGAGGGGGGGGCAGAGAAACCGTCTCTCGCATTAGCCGGGGTGGAGTCGCGCCGCGGTCATCGTCCCGCAAACTTTCGTGTTTGTTTTCTCGATCGGCGGAGACAATAGCCGGCGAAGAAACTCGCGAATACCGAGCAGAATCCGAGCATTGGGACCGAGTTGACGGGAACATTGCCGCGCAAGGAGAGAGCTATCCGATATTTCCGCAACTTTCGGAAAATCAAGATTGCTTCCCGCCGGTGACAGAGCGCGCTCTCGCGGATCGGCCCGACCGAATGGAAAAGTTATGTACACACTCTCGTCGTCGCGTGTCGCGTGCGACATGGACAGGATTATCGATAATGTTAACACGTGGAGACAGCGGGGAAGGAGGGGCGGGGGAGGGGAAGGAGGACGATATTCCGGGACTCTGCCGTTGCGTCTCATTGTTTCCTCTGCGACGGCGATTCAGCCGGGGAAGAAAAGCGATCGGCTCGCGCGCGCGCGCGCGCGCGCGAGAGAGAGAGAGAGAGAGAGAGAGAGAGAGAGAGAGAGAGAGAGAGAGAGAGAGAGAACGTGTGTAGATGTATCAACGGCGAATTGGATCGCGCGACGTGTATTACCGGCGCTGTTTTTCGACATGCACGACAACTCGCGCGCGTCCGATGGCCGCTCGTAAACACGATCATTGCGATCGTGCGAGCGCGCGCGCGCGCGCGCACATGCGATGCGATTGAAGCTGGATGGATGTAGGTCGGGAAAATATCGCGCTGCCGACGGGTGAATCTAGCCCGAGCTTACGGTCGATCGCCGCTTCGCGATTGCTGCTGTTGCACGCGAAGCGCCGCTTCTCGAAAACTGCGGCATCATCATGTTTTACGAAGCGCGCGGCTCGCCGACTGCTAATGCCGACGATTACTCCGCAGGGGGAACTCTGGGGGGGGGAGATTCGCCGTGAAACTAATAAGGGTTAAGCCCTTTAGCGGGCGGGTCGGCTAACAACAGCGCGCTCGGAGTTTCCCGGAGTGAAATCACGCGCGAAACGGGCGATCGTTCTCGCTCGGAGCGACGGCGGACAAATACACGGCGTGAATGTTTCACTCGAGTTCTCAGAGAGGAGGAGAAAGAGGAGAGAGAGAGAGAGAGAGAGAGAGAGAGAAAGAGAGAGGGGGGGTGGGGAGATTCTTACTTCGTACGAGCGAGTGTCTCCATCGATCAGAGCTGAATTCGTTCTCTCCCGCGAGGCCTCGGGGAGGCGCCTCGGTCGGGGATTTCCTCTGCAAGCTCGAATGAAAACATTCACCCGACTCGATTCGTCGTCGGCTGCCGAATTGTCTTTGCTCCTTGTGAGAGCGAGTCTCTCTCTCTCTCGAATTCGAATACTCTGCGGCGCTCTACTCTCCGAGGCACTTGGCGGGCGAATCCGCGCGGCGAGACGATACTTTGACGACGACGACGACGACGACGACGAAACCTAAAGCCGCCGCACGCGCAATTATAAACAAAGAGTGGTGTTAATTCGGCGGCCCCGTTTAAAATTGACAGCGTCATAATGGCGTTTGGTTCGCGCCGCGCGATAATCGCCGGCCGACCAAGTGCCGCGAGAGAGAGAGAGAGAGAGAGAGAGAGAGAGAGAGAGAGAGAGAGAGAGAGATAGCGAGCTTTGTCGGCTTTTAATCTGCCAGCGCGTCATATTATTTGTCGTCGAGCGTCGGTATCGTCGTAACAGCATTAACCGTCGAATTTCGATACGAGGCGCCTCGGAATACAATAAACATTCATAATGTGTCCAAATGCTGTGACTAATGCAATGTAGCAGAGCGTGCGCGCTGCATCCAGCTCCGATCGACCGGCGCGCATTTAATTACTCTCTCTCTCCGGGGGGGGGTAGGGGGAAGGGCTCGCGCTGGAATTTCGCTGCTCAAAGCGCGCGCTCGCTCTAGCCGGCGAAATACCGAAATAGAGCGCGCGCGGCGGTGCTGTCGCTGGTTGATGTGATATACGCATCTCATACGCACGATACGTCATTCGCACAGGACTGCATATTGGTCAATAGCACAAAGTACGCGAGAATCGCGAAACGCAGCGCCCGCCGGGACCAAGATAATCCTCGGGATCTTTCTGATTCTAGGGTGCTCACCATCAGCTCGGACCTGCCCACTGTTCTGCAGGTGTTGAACGAGGTCGTACCTAATCTAGAAGAGGTGAGTATACTCGAGTTTTCATCTCGTCACTGATCCCCACTCTCCTCTTTTTTTTTTTTTCTTTTTTTCTCTTACTCAGCCTTCGATCGCTCTCGTGCGCAACCAGATTTCTGTATCTCCAGTGAAATAGCAGGGCGACCGGCCGGGGTCGCTCGAGTCCTCCGAGTGACTCCTCGCTCGCTCGCGCGGAGAGCGAGGATCCTCGTCGCTCGGAGTCGTCGAGTGCTGCGAATGTTTTCCTTCGCAGTTGAAGGGCGAATCTCTGGCCAGCGGACTCTCGCACGCCAGATGATGACTCGCTTTGATTTTGGCCGACTCGCTGTCCACTCGCGCGCTCGCGGATTAAAAGTCTTCTCCGACATTCGGCTGACAAGTCGGCCGACCTCGGGGAACGAGTCAGACGCCGATTTGTTTCCAATTTTTTATACTTACTTTTTACGTCAAAATACGAAGAAATCTGTTATCATGTTTTTAGCTTAAATTAATTTTTTCAATTTTTTCGAAATTTCTAAAGTCTTGCACAAGCTTGCACTATTTTATACACATTTAAAACAATATTTCTTAAAAATGTATATATCTGATTTGTTGAAACTTGCACACACACGTCGCCGCCGATTATGAATCAGAAGCATTTTGTAAAATTCAAAATGGCTTGATCTAATATGACCGACGTCATTGTTGGAAAAGTGTTCGGTTTTACGCTACATTCGACGTTGGGTAATCTTTCGGCTCGCACTATCCAGCAAACAACGTCATTTTAACGTCAAAATCTGGCAAAAAATGAACAAGAAACGAGCGAAAAAAAGAATGAACGAAAAACTTGAGAAATTTCGAAAAAATTGAAGAAATTAATTTAAGCTAAAATTGATAACAGATTTCTTTATATTTTAACATAAAAAATAACTATAAAAAAATTGGAAACAAATCGGCGTCTGACCTTCCCCCCCGAGGGAGGGTTTACTTGTAAGCACTCGCTCGTCTCTCGCGCTCGCGACGCCCGCCGATGTGAGGCAGGTCTCAGTGGAGCCAGCTAATACATTGAAGTTTCCACGATTTATTGTAGACACGCTTTCAGAACGGTTCCCGTCATGGCAGCGACGAGATCGACGTGCGCATGCTGGTGCACCAGAGCCAAGCGGGATGCATCATCGGCAAAGGCGGCCTGAAGATCAAGGAGCTGCGCGAGGTGAGTCACTTTCTTAGTAATTAGCCGCGACTCGCGAGACAATGCAGCTTGTTTCTTGCGTCTTTCGCAAGGGGGGCGGAGAGAGGAGCAGCCAGTCGTGTGTAGCGTCTCGCGACGATGTTGTGAGAGTCAACGATGCTCGCGGGATTTCGTGCAGAAACGTGGGCGCGCCGACGTGCGGAACGATGTGTTAAGGCGCGGCGAGGGGGGCGGAGGGAGGAAGAAAGAAAGAAAAGCAAAACAGGAAGGAAGAATGGAAAAAGAACGGAGAACGAACGTGCTTCACACTCTGATCTTTTCGCGAGCTGTGCGAGTTGTCTTAGCGGGTCTTAAATACTTGATGTTATCGAGTGACGCAACGTTAAAGTGGCGGCATGAAAGTCAATTGAGACTTCATGTAGAGGTCGCGGGGCTTTTATTTTATTAACAATGTAACGTGAGAAGGGGCAAGATAGAAAGACAGAGAGAGAGAGAGAGAGAGAGGGGGAGAGGGAGAGAAGGAGAGAGAGAGAGAGAGCGAGAGATTGCAAAGTTCCGCCGTCTCTTGCGAACGCAAACACCGCGCGCGCGATCGGTTTATGAACTTTAAGTCGCGTGTTCACTTATTAACGAGGCGAGACAAAGACGCGCGGAGTCGAAAACTTTGAAGTGCGAGCCCGTCTATCATTTATTTACGGGCCTCTCGGTTTGACTACGAGGAGCACGAGGAGCGGACCTTGCCGCATGTCGCGAGAGAGAGAGAGAGAGAGATGACAATAGGCGATCTAGATAGTCGCGCCGCGCACGTCGACTACGGGAATTGTTGGTACTTAAGGATTTGTTGTCGTCAACGCGAGAGGATCGTTTCATCTTGCGCGCTCCGGCGACGCTAACAAAGCGGCGCGGCGCGACTCGATGAAACGACAATTAATTCTCCTTTAATTAGCGATCTCTCCCCGACATCGTGGCCCCGATTTTACATAACGAGCTCTGTACCCGTCCGGGTTTTCCGGCGAAGGGCTCGGCCTGGCTGGCGGGCTGGCTGGCCGGCCGGCCGGCTGGCTGGCTGGCTGGCTGGTTAGCTAGCTAGCCTGCTCTGAAATATACAACGTGGCCAAGTGGCTCGTTACGTTTCCGCGTTCACGAGAAACAAAACCGAACGTAGCCGACCGAGCTTTTGTCCCGCCTCGAATCGGTGAGTGCTTCATTCGACGAGGAGAGCGCCGCGACTTTCTGCAGCCTCTTCCTTCTCTTCGCCCTTCGCTCTCTTTCCTCGCCCATGTCGTCTTTTCCCTTGTCCCTTTGTGACGCGACGATTTCGTCGCCGACGTATGTACCTTGACGCCTCGACGGCCGGCAGATGTGATTTTCTTCTCTATTGCACACCGGCGATACCGTATTTGCCCGTTATCCGGGCGTTACGCGCGTTCGCCCTCCAAGTTTGGCGAAAGAACAATTAGAACGATTATCGCACGCGCGCCGTCGGCGAAACAGAGCGCGTTAAAAGCGAGAAGCGAGTATTTTTCTCTCTTTTTTTTTTCTTTTTTCTTTTTTTTTCGCCATTTCAATCAGTCACATTTCGCCGCGGCAAAATCGATCAATCCAATCGACGTTATGGACTCGAGAGGGTGTTTTTATTCGCCGCGGGATTCTCCGCGAAGGATAATGCGCGTGCGCGCGCATTCTCATCACTCGCAAGCAAACTTAACGAGCATCCATACGGTTACTGTGTGTATCGGCTGGTGCGGCACGCGCTGAGTAACGTTGTTTGGCAATTTAGCGAAAACTTATTCGTAATTTCGTCAGTCTTAACATCCTCCCTCGGTGAAGAGCTGCCGAGATAATTAGTCCATTAGAGTTTAGTTAACTGCTGCGTCGGCTAATACATTTAAACGTATTGCTCGAGGGGGAATAGTCGACGGGAAGCAATCGAGTTTCGGAACACCGTTTCGCTGCGGCGCGCGCGAAAAAGTCAAGATAAACCGCGACGAGAGAGAGAGAGAGAGAGAGAGAGAGAGAAAGAGAGCGAGCGAACGCCTCGCTTTTCCTCCCTCTGGATCGTCGATCAGCCATCGGGGCCCGAACAGAGCGCGAAATACGTTCGTTACTCGATATTTCGCCCGTGCGAAATTTCCTCGGGCGAAAATCCACTCAGGGCAAAATTCGCGGCCGCGTCACGCGCGCCACGTAAGACACGCGCTCGCGCACGGCGCGGATAATAAAAGCAAGCACCGCCGCGCGTGAAGAGGAGGGACGAGAGCGGTGGGGGGGGGGGCGAGGGTGCTCCAGCTACCCCTGTGGAACGAACGAGGAACGGGAGACACGGCACCGCCACTCGGCGACATCGCCAAGTCGTTTTATTTCGACTCGCGGCCGCTCGGGGGAGGGTAGGGGTAACTTTATTGATTCCGAACGGGATTCCGGCGCGTTTTTTTTTTTTTCCTGTCATGGAGGATCCTGTCTAACTGCCAGAAAACGCGCGCTCGCGGCTCCGTCTCTCCGCGAAAAATCGAGCGAGCCGACGCGACGCGACGCGACGTAAGGATTGAACGGTTATTTATTATTCCGCGCGAGCGCGCGAAATTGAGCCCGGCTTCTATTTCCCTCGTCCTCTCCGCCGCGAGTGAGCCGTTTCTCCTTCTCGCGGCTCAAACGGGAGCTGCAAGGTTACGTACCTTGCGACTTCAAACCGTCGCGTCGGCTTGCTTCAGATCGCGAATTCTCTGGCGGGCAGCCGCTACTTGCCGCGCGGAACGACCGATCGGAATTCATCGGCTGTTCGGCAATGCGAGCGCTCGCTGATCGCGCTGATCCTAATTAACCCCCTCGGCTTTCGGTCGTCGACCTCGGCGGCCGCGCTGCGACATTGGCCTTTATAATTGACGACGACGAGGACATTAAGCCACGAACGTATTCACGCGCCACCGGTGCCGTTTCCTTTCCGCTCTCCCTTTTACTTTTTGATTCCTTCCTTCAAACACAAAGTGTTGTCCGCGATTTCTGCGCTCGGCTCGCGCAACATTCTTCCCGCCGCTTTATCGAGACGGTGCTCCCGATGACGCACGAGGTCCATGCAAATAGAATGACTGATAGGCCCGAATGCTTCTTGATAACGACGGTCGAAGAATGTGAAAGGAATACGAGATGCGGCAGACAGAAATATGCATGACGCAAGGCGACGGGGGGGGGGGGAGATGGTGACACGAGGCTCGGATACACTTGTGGATCTGTGAGTATAATGCGAACACGATGGTACACTTTGAACCTTCAAAAGGACCCGGCGGGACGGAGGACGGAGGAATCGACAGCGCAGAGCCAGTGGATGAGCAAACTGTCGAATCGATGCAAATCCGATTCGGTCTTTAATGGTCTTTACGCGCGCGGTTTGTCCAAGATCGCGCAATAACCGCGGCGAGTTGCGATCACGCTGTGTTGTTTGTGCCTCGCTGTGGATCTCGCGTGTCACGTCGTCCATGAAGTAATCGCATAAAGGCGGAGTCGAGAGGAAGAGCGAGAAGCACACAACAAACGTTGTTGCGTCGCGAAAAATCCAGAGAGCGAAACGCGCGCGCTGTCAATTGAGATAAAACTTTGATCTCCGAGCCGGCCGTTTAATTCTGCAAAGGTTCCTGCGCGATCGGACTCGATGATACACCGCAGATTCGCCGTATCTGTTTCAAAGCGGGTGCACGGCTGGGCCGGCTCGATAAAAATGCTAGCGATTCGAGGGAGCGCCGCCCGGGTTGTGTATGAAATGTGCTCGACGTTTTCACCGACTCGAGCAACGGGACGAGATTTTGCCGCCGCGTTAACCGTACAGATCTCGTTGAATTGGGAGGACACTCTCTTTGCGATGCATCGCTGCTCACATCCTTTTTTTTTTCTCTCCTTTCGTTCCCTGATCTGAGTCTCGTTTTTCCCTTCGAATCCAAATTCGAATCCCCCATTGAATCCGCAAAAGCTGCGTTGTCGCACCTACAACTGTTATTTTCGTAATTTCGTGCGTATCAACTTTTTCGAGAGCTTCTGACCTTTAAACTCCCCGTTAAAAGTTTTTCAAATCCGTCGAAACAGAATGAAAGATCACGAGAATAAATGCTGATTTCTTCTTCCATCCATTTACTCGGCAATCTTTCCTTTATTTGATTATTTATAATATTTGCTTGTCACGTGTTCTCCATTTGCAGTCGGCTAGTTTATACTAGCATAATTAATATATCGCTGAGTGAAATTAATAATAAAGGTTAAATGTGCAGATGGAATATTGAGGTGATCGAATATTCAATCACGTTAATATATATAATCTCTTTATATAGACAATATTTTATTAAAAATACACGAGATAATACTATAAGTCAAATGTTAATTTTCAAAAACGAGTGCTTTCTCGAGCCTGCCCGAGAAAATGACAATGCAAAAGCAACCCCTCGGAGCGTCGACGGCAGTTCGACATTCCACGTCGAAATCTTTGCAAATTGATGCCTCGAGTTTGACAGGATCTGGAACGGAAATACATCGCGACCCGAGCAAAAAATTTCTAGGGCCTCGTGAAGCATAAGGCCCCGATGAAACTGAAAGTAGGATGCCCTAAAGAGGAGGGATGCTTCATTATTCCACACAGGCCCTGAGTTGCATTTTTTAGGGATACCTTAGATCTAATAAATAAGGCTTTGGTAGGGAAAGCTGAGAAGGGCCTTGGAAGGTTTCTTCAAGAGACTGCTTTAGATGTACAAAGTCAGGTTTTATTATGACAAATTGATAAGACCCGAAGCGTGCAATCGGAAAAATGTATTGTTGCGTGAACCACAATTTTTGTTGCAACAACAAAATAATTTGGTTAAATAAAACTGTTTAGTTCCTGTAAACAAATATCTTGTTTGACTACGGTTTGTTCGTATAACGCGATACTTTTGTTATAGCAACCAACAAGCTTGAACTATATGAATTTTGTTCATAAAATACTATATTTTTTCTTAATACATAAAATCTAAATTTTAGTCAGCACAGAAAGACAAAATAGT